TAAAAGGTTGATGAAGATAGGGGAAGCTGTGATTTGTGTTATAGGGCAAGGAGGAATAACATCTCGTAGGAGTTGAGGAAGAGCCAGTTGTGAGTGTGGGGAGTTCGTTGAGGACAGTAGGTAAAATGAAAGGGGGTAAGGCAGCCGGGATTGATGGGATAAAGATTAGAAATGTTAAAAAGCGGTGGGGATTATAGTTTTGGACGTGGTTGGTGCATTATTTTATAAATGTATGGAAGGGGGTAGTAGGTACCTAGGGATTGGCAGGAGAGCATGCATAGTTCCTTTGTATAAAAAGGCAAGGGAGATAAAGAGAGTGCAAAAAGTATAGGGGGATAAGTCTGTTGAGTGTACCTGGTAAAGTGTATGGTTAGAGTTTTATTGGAAGGAATTAAGAGTAGACGGAGATAGGATAGCTGAATGGAAACAAGGAGGCTTTAGGAAGGTAGGGGGGTGTGTGGACCAGGTGTTTTCAGTGAATACATATAGTGAAACAGTATTAGATAAGGCTTAAAGAGGTCTTTGTTGGCATTTATGGATTTGGAAAAGGCGTATGAACAGGGGGGTGGTAGGGGGGCAATGTGGCAGATGTGCAAGTGTATGGTGTAGGAGGTAGGTTACTGAACAGCAGTAGTGAAGATGTTTTAACGAGGATAGTGAGGCTCTCAAGTTAGAGTATGTAGGAAAAGAGGGACAATTTTTTCACAGTTAAAGTAGGCCTTAGACAAGGATGTGTGATGTCACCGTGGTTGTTTAATATATTTATAGATGGGGTTGTAAGAGAAGTAAATGCGAGGGTCTTGGCAAGAGGGCGTGGAGTTAAAAAGATAAAGAATCACACACAAAGTGGGAGTTGTCACAGGCTGCTTCTTTGTTGATGACACTGTGCTCTTGGGAGATCTGAAGAGAAGTTGCAGAGATTGGTGGATGAATTTGGGTAGGGTGTGCAAAAGAAGAAAATTAAAGGTGATTACATGGAAGAAAAGAGTAAGGGTTATGAGGGGATAACCAAAAAAGATTAGGTGATGAAAGTTGAATATCAGATTGGAGGGGAGAGAGTATGGAGTAGGTGGAACGTATTCAGAATTTGGAGTGGGCGTGTCAGCGGATGGGTTATGAAAGATGAGGTGAATCATAGAATTGATGAGGGAAAAAGAGTGTGTGGAGCACTAGGAGTCTGTGGAGACAATAGAACTTTGTCCATGGAGGCAAAAGAGGGGAATGTATGAGAGTTTAGTTTTACAACGCTCTTATATGGGTGTGAAGCGTGGGGGATGAATGTTGCACGCGAGGAGAAGGTTGGAGGCAGTGGAGATGTCATGTCTGAAGGGCAATGTGTGGTGTGAATATAATGCAGAGAATTCGTAGTTTGGAAGTTATGAGAGGTGGTGCGGGATTACCTAAAACTGTTTGTCCAGAGGGCTGAGGAAGGGTGTGTTGAGGTGGTTCGGACATGTAGAGAGAATGGAGCAGAACAGAATGACTTCAGAGTGTCTCAGTCTGTTAGTGGAAGAAGGCGGGGGTAGGGGTTCGAGCCTAGGCAGGGTGGAGGGAGGGGGTAAAGGAGGTTTTGTTGATGCTGACGGGGCTTGGACTTCCAGCAGGCTATGCGTGAGCGTTTGTTTGATGGAGTGTATGGAGACAAATGGTTTTTTAATTATTGACGTGCTGTTGGAGTGTGAGCAAAGTAAAAACATTTATGAAGGGTATTGAGATCTAGGGAACCGGCAGGCCGGACTGAGTCCGGGAGCCATGGGAAGTACAGTTTTTGCCTGCACTCTGAAGGAGGGGTGTTAATGTTGCACGTTTAAAAACTGTTAGTGTAAAGCACCCTTCTGGCAAGACAGTGATGGCGGGAATGATGGTGGAAAGGTTGTTCTTTTTCAGGCCACCCTGACTTGGTGGGAATCGGCCGTGTGATAATAAAAAAATAAATATATATATATATTATATATATATATATATATATATATTATATATCTATATATATTTTATATATATATATATATTATATATATATATATATATATTATATATCATCTATATATATATATACATATATATATATATGTATATTATCTATATATATATTTATATTATATATTACATATTTAGTATATTTATATATATATATAATATTATATATATTATATATATATATATATATATATAATATTATATATATATATATTTATATATACATATATGGTACGTGCCGAATAGGCGATAAACTTGCTATCTTGGCTTAAATAGCAACGCTATCTTGCCATATAGGACAAGCGAAAATTTGTGTATGCAATAAATTCGCCAAAACAATCTGAATACTAAGAAAAAAATATATTTCACGGTTTGTTTAGTTTAAATTATTGTAAACAAATTTAAACAGATATTTAGTTGGTTAGGCTAAAATAAATTGTTCTTGTTTCTAAGGTTTGGTAAGTTTTCTAAGATTCTTTTGCGTCAAAAATTATAAATATTTACTTCAACATTAATGAAAAAA